GACATTCTTTTATAAGTGTGGATGTCCATTTTCCAGTTTTTGAAATCTGGCTCAAAGCTTAGATATGATACTCTGCAGCACGTGAGTCCTAGACACATCTGTCTGTGACTGGCCTTGTTCTTGCCTTCCAATAATTCTTTCTTTCATAAAATTATCTATGTCATTATCACTGTCAGTATCTTACAGTAAAGCAGCAACAAAGTAATCTTAATGGTTAAACAGCAACAGAAACAATGCCATGTTATTTATAGAGCCAGCATATTTTGCATATATTTATGTTTAGTGGAAGATTTGATTACATCCTGGGTATTTTTATTGTCTGAAGATGTTTTCATAAATTTTCTACTGTTTATTTTTTGCTCTGTCTGTGGATTGGATGATTATGCCTATTTTTTGGACAAGTTTATTTCTGAAGATGAAGAGGGAAGTATTAGAGAATAAGGATTAAGCTCATCTTAATGCTAAGTATATGAATCATTCTAAAAATGAATAATATATATACAAGTGTAGGCTGAAAAGTAATGCTTGTAGAACACGAACAAAAACAAATATCAAGATTGGGCAAAAAGTACATTAAAGTACAATTCTTAAGCTTAAAAATCATATACAGTAGAACCTCGAAAACTCGTCCCTCGATAACTTAGCACTCCGGATAACTGGTCCACACCTTGGCAGGGCGAAAAAATCCTTAGTTAATTAATTTTCATTATAGACAGCTTTATAAAAGTATAAAAGCTCTCATAAAGTATTTTTCTGAGGTCTGTCTTATCAGGTAAATTACTGTACACAGTGTATTCATTAATTTTCATTTTCATGTAGTGGCTCTATGCCTTCATAAAGGACGTACTTTTCCTTTGTTTAAGGGTATTTGGGCAGTTTATTCTCTGTTATATTCTGTACAAGTAAATACTGTACAAGTACAGTACAGTATTTTCTGAGGAAATACTCGTACTTATTTTTTTTAACCCCATTCCCGATAACTCGGCATTTTCACAAACTCGACCACCCTTCGGTCCACATTAGGTCGAGTTTTCGAGGTTCTACTGTATTTATTTTTCAACATAGTCACCATTAAGGCTAACACATTTCTCTTAACGTGTAACAAGTTTTTTCATTCCGTCACTGAAAAATTCTTCCAACTTTTCTCGAATCCAGGACTTGACAGCTGTCTTTATCTTATCATTCGAGGTGTAATGATTACCCTTGAGGTCGCTCTTGAGTGGAGGGAAAAAAAAATAAAAATTGTAAGGCGCAAGATCGAGAGAACAAGGAGGGCATGGAATCTGTTCAAACTTCAGATTTCGCAGAGCCTCTCCAGTTGTGTGCTAGGTGTGAGGACGAGCGTTGTCATGTTGCAAGATTATTGGCACCAGGTGATTATTTGTTGTGTTAGAGGCAGCCTGGCTCCAATAATCTTGCAACATGACAACGCTTGTCCTCACACCTAGCGCACAACTGGAGAGGCTCTGCGAAATCTGAAGTTTGAACCGATTCCATGCCCTCCTTATTCTCTCGATCTTGCGCCTTACAATTTTTATTTTTTTTCCCCTCTACTCAAGAGCGACCTCAAGGGTAATCATTACACCTCGAACGATGAGGTAAAGACAGCTGTCAAGTCCTGGATTTGAGAAAAGTCGGAAGAATTTTTCAGTGACGGAATGAAAAAATTTGTTACACGTTGGGAGAAATGTGTTAGCCTTAATGGTGACTATGTTGAAAAATAAATATATGATTTTTAAGCTTAAGAATTGTACTTTAATGTACTTTTTGCCCAATCTTGATATTTGTTTTTGTTCGTGTTCTACAAGCATGTGTGCATTACTTTTCAGTCTACCCTCGTATATAAAACAAATGTCAATCTGTATTTTTTAGAAGTCAATAAAGGAATTTTAGTTTTCTTAGGTTTTGCAGTAAATATAAAAAAATATATATAGTATCTTAGAAAATAATTATATATAGAAAACTCTTCATCTTCAAAATAAATGAACTTTATATAAAATAAAAAACAAATTTAAAAATGAGAAAAACAACTTATATTAAATGAAACCATAAAAAACTACTAACTAATTTAATGTATATTTTCACATGTTAATACTAATTAATGCCATATTTTTCTAATTGATTTTTGAATTTTAATTGTGTTAAAAAATATCAAAATTTTTTGCATTGACATTTTAAACTTTATTTCTTAGCAATATGACTTTGACAATCTTATGCTGAAACAACATAAGATTGTTTCTAAGAATGCTGAAGTTTAAACAATTGTTTTAAATCTTTAAATACAAAGTTCAGCATTAACATTTTGGCTATTTATAATGGTTTAAAGCTTATATTTGTAGAACAAACTGATTTTTTTTTAAATTCTCATTACTGTAATTTGTCATCTCCATAAAATTTTTGAGCTATTCTATTTATGCACTAACTATTTCTTACTATTTGATGGTTTTAGTTTTTTCCATTCTATAATAATTTATTTTTTCATAAATAGCAAATGTCAAATAGGAACAAGTTTATGTTAAACAGTGTTAGCAGAATATACAATAAAAAAGAAATTGATATACAGATGGCCCTCAACTTTTGTACATAATTGGTTCCTGAAAATAGTGTTACCACCCGTCCGGTTTTCACTTGGGAAGTCTGGGAATTGACTCACTGTTAATTTTGTCCAGGAATTTCGTAGAAATTGTGAAATTACGATGAAACAAAGTTCTTGCAAATATTTTTACAAATTTACACTATTTTAACAGCGAAAGAACTCACACTCACTGAAACTCATCTGCAATTCTGCCATGTTAGTCTGTTTATGCCAACCTGTGGCGTGCAACCTGTCGATTTTTTCTTTTTTTTGCATGTACGATTGTACACATCTCCAATATCCAATAGAGCTAAGTCATTTGTACCCATTCTTTCTTAATTTAGGTTACTTACATCACTCCTATGCAAGTTCCTAGTCCTAACTGTAACTGATTTAGAACCAGCATGCACGTTATTCTTTTCACGCTATGCATTGTAAAATGACATTGTGCATGCGTCAGGAACTTCTGTTCGAACAAACCTGACCTGCAATCCAGGTCAGCGATTTTGAAAAGGAGGCAACATTACCTGAAAGTGTGTGCAAATGTTGAATGTTCAAAAGTAGAGGGATGTAAAAAAATATGCACCAAAAACTGAAATATTTATTCCTTAATTTTACTCTTATTTTTCAAAATTACACATGTCATAGATCTGTTTACATCATATGAACGTCCGATTGAAGCAAAAGATTCACTGTTTTCAGAACGTTTAATTATTTCCATCTTTATCTCAATTGTATGAAGTTTATGAGTCCTTAATTTCTTTTTGTTCATATCAACACTGCAGTTTCTCCATTTCTCACTCATGATCATCAATTTATAAGGATGAAATATTTAAACATTAAATAAATTGGCAAAACACACAACATGTTGACGCACGCCCTAATACAAGACTGAAACTGTTTTGACCTCTTTCTCGGAACAACACAGTAATGATTAGGATTCTGAGAAATCCACTATTATAGGAAGTAATGTGTATCCGAGAACCATAGAGTGAGCTACTGCACTTTGTAGTGTATGAGTGTTCTGCATGAAATGAAATGTTTTCATTATCGACAAAAATATTTAAAAACTTGAATTTTTAAAAATGTGCAAAATAGCGAATTGTGCGAAAGTCGAGGGCCACCTGTTATTTGGATAAGGCTAAAATTATTCAGATAATGTAAGATCTAATCAAATATTTTGGATAGAGAAGAAATTTTGCACTAGATCCCTTAAAATCAAAAATGTTTATTAAAACTTAGTTATTTGCTTATATTGGACTTTGTACACTTAATAAAGACAAAAATTACAATTGTATTATTAAATTTACAAAAATAGAAAATTAGAAAAAGTATTTTAACCTGATTAGGGAAGAGAGAAAAATCTGACACAAGAAAAAAACTTAATTGGCATTCCAAGATTTCTTAAACTGATTAGCATAGTTAAGAAATGATAGCTAAAAACTGGCTAAAACTTCACCGTACCCACACAGTGAAGCATTTTACATGTTTTATTTGCCAATTTTTCTATATTTTAGCAAGTTCTACATTTTCAGTTTTACAGTTTTATTTGTTCTACCCTATGTTTTTTAAATACTTAGTTATTCTTGTGGTCATTATTAGACATTATTCCAGTTTTACCATTATTATACATTAAGGACCAATGAGTTGTAAATGGCTCAAAATGCATTTCCTTTCATAAAAAATAGAAAATGCAGCCTACTTCTCACATCAAAAAAAGTGTTTCTGTATGATAAGTTTTCTATAACAATTTTGTGCTTAATTTTAAAGAACATAACAGAGAACAAGAAGTAAATGCGTACTAGAAATAAATTAGTTGGACCCATGGATATGAGTTTTAAAAATTAAACCATTACAAATTAAGGTATTAATACTAAGGTTTGTAAAAATTTACACACCTGAACCATTTACGGTGTGATCACGCAAAAAATCGGTAAACGAACGTTTTCGAACCCCTTCTGGGCTCTGCTTCAGGTTCCAATCAGTTTCCACTAAAGATGTTCGATATCCGTTAGACATATAAATCCGTTTGATCATGTCGTTTACCGATTTTTTGCGTGATTACACCGTAAATGGTTCAGGTGTGTAAATTTTTAGTATTTTTGGTGTGATAAATAGTGAGTTTATTTGTACTAAGGTTTGTATTTAAAGATTTAAAAACTTATGTGTAATTTTTGTATAAGATTGTTAAAAGCTGTGTTACTAAGAAATGGAGGTTTAAAAAATTGAATTGGTGACACAGGAATTTCAGTAAGTCAAAATTTGAAAGTCATTAGAAAAGCATAGTTATAATTAATCTTAGGATTGGAAAATCTTATATCTGTTAAACTGATAAATTGTTTTTTTTTATAGTTTTATTAATGCTAAGCTGTATTTTTTGTTATTATTATGTTTTTTAACCATTTATTCATAATATTTTTTTTAGTATAATAGTCTGAAAGTTCCGTATCCCACTGAAAAAACAATACCTGAAATTGATGCACAAGAAAAAGCATCTGTAAGTTAAAGATTTTTCATATTCTCGATTTTGAAATATAGTTTGTAATCATGGATATTGTTATCAGTCACCTAATGTTATCAGATATAACCTGTTCCAAAACATATAAAGTAAAATGCATACACTTATAAAACTTGTGCTTAGTATTATTAGAATTTCAGTTGTTATTGTCATCATCACCACTAGATAAAAAGGCATTTTAAAGTTTTTATACTAGCCTCAGTATAGCTGATTATGCTCAATTAGTCTTAACCAATGTTTCAAATGTTAATTGTTTTAATTGTTAAATACTTGTGTTACAATAGTATAAATTGCTGGTATTTCATACAGTTAAGAAGTATATAAGAAATACCTGCATTTGTGTGTTAGCTGTTGTTAAAGACAATACTGTAAAAAAAGAAAAGAAACAACAACATTGTGTGAATTACTGCCAATTAATAACAATAATTATGTTTATTAAGTGTTAAAGTTATACAATTTTTTAATTGTTTTAGAATGTCAAGAAAAAAGAAAAAATGGAATTTCCATTAATTGCCATCTTATTTACTTACAACTGTTAACATTATGTTAGTTTTTATTGTTAATGTATGCAAGTCCCAAAGTGATTACAGCAGATAGATTCTATTGTATCACTAAATTTTTTTTTTATGAAAATAATTGATGATATATGTTATATAAAATTTTATTTTATTTTTCACAATTTTGTTGTTGTGACAAACTCTCTTTAACCTTTTTAGTTCCCAGCAATTTTTGATATTAATGTAATTAAACATAAAAAATACTTAAAACTGAAAAAACAAAAGAAATGTGTTAATTTTGAAGAAAAAGTTTCAAACTTTATTTTCCTTTGTCTCGTCTTTCTGTGAAATTTGACACCGATGAGTCATTGTTTACACAGCTGGATGATCTTAAACACAGCTGGATGATCTTAAACACAGCTGGAGTCAGATTTCCCGGGACATTCTCATAGAAGTCTCCGGAGGCGAAGGGTTTGTAGTAGGGTGGATACTAGCTGGCCGTATATTTTTAAATATTTTTAAAAAATTCAAATTTTAATTTCGATTTCTGACCCCCTTGACTTAATTAAACATATTTATAATAAAATCTATTAATTAAAAAAATTAAAAAACTATTGGAGGTGGTTTTTGACATCAGAAACTAGCTTTAAATAACTTTACCGAAGGAAAATCCGTGCACTACAACTTTAGAACAATTAATTAATTTTGATTAAAAAATCCCATTAAAAACAATTAAGCCTTAATTGAGCCTTATCAAAGGCTAATTAAAGTTGCGATAAAATTTTTTTGCACGGGTAAAAATTTTTGACAAAATTTGGAGACTTAAAAAACATTCCAAAAATTAAAAAAAAAAAATTTGGGGGGCCGAAAGGACCGAGTTTTATGTAAGGCTATGTAACCTGCCCGAGTTAACTCAGGCGAAGAACTAAACAGGTTAAAACATCAAAATGAACGCATTAATAAATAGAAATTTGTTATAGAGGATTGCAGTAATTTTTTTTCTTATTACTATTTTCTCTTTTTGAATAGATTGGTAGATTCTTAGTATTTGATATATTTCATTTTGAATTTATTTCCATTGGAATTAAACTTTTTAATTTAATTAGAATTTCCTCTTCAAATATTTAAAAATAATTCAATCATTAGAACATTTAGAAATGGCCTAAACATTCTTGATAACAGTTTTAGCTTAGAACAGAATATATCATTTTAATATTAATCAAAGAATCAAGCCAGATGTTTTTAGGCTACATTTTGGCTAATTAAATATGTAAATGCTGTATGATTTGGACTAAAGGTAGGCAATTAAGTTGTCATCTTATATAAAATTTAATTCAGGCTTGATTTTTGATGTAATTTTGTTAGTTCCTTTGTTTTGATGAATTTTCTGTAATCTTCATGAAAGAAAAATTTAATCTTTCCTCATTCATTTATAAAATTTTGGAATTAAAGATACAAATAATTTAAATTTTTACTTTTATTATTAAACTAGCTGTTACCTGCGGCTTCTCTCGCACGGATTTTGCAAGCAAACCCTATTTACATTCAATATTTCAACAACCATAGTAAATGTTATTTAATACCTACTGCTGACTACTGCTGTCTTTAATTTGATAAATTTTCTGGATTGTTTACAATTGTTGTATAATCAAATCAATATGCAAAAAGAAATTCAAATTTAAAACGGTTCAAACATTTGGTTAAAAAATCAAAATATATAAAAATATTTATAACAATGTCTGAAATGTTATCAATTTAATACCCCTAAGTACTCAATGAAGACTAAACATAATTAAAAACAAAAAAATTGCATCTAAAATAGTACAGTAGAAGCCTTTCTTCAGGTTAAGCCTTAATGCTTTCCCTCTCCCCCTGTGGGGAATTTCGAAAAATCTCTTCTTAGTGTGTGTTTTTATGATGTACCCTAACTGTATACCAAATTTCACCTCTAGATTTTGGAACTTTCTAGAAAAAAATGGAACAATCTTATTGAAGCATCACACATTTTCGAAATCAACCACTTTTAAACTCCATATCTCTCACCCCCTTATAGCTGTTGAGATGCAACCACCATAGTGCATGATGGGAGACTTGGGGTTACTACCACACACAAACACCATTGATGTGCGATGTGTAGTTTTGGCTGTAGAGTGATATATAGGCACAAACACGTCCATTTATATATATATATATATATATAATTGAACAGATGAAAACAATTTTTTAAATATTTCCATCTATTTAAAAATTTTACATTGGTTTGTTACTAAAGATCTCAGTCAGCCAGAAATGTTTAATTAATAAAATATTTCTGCTGGAAAAGACTATGCAAGCGTACCCTGTTTAATGTCAATAATCCGTTCCTGAAAATTACATTCTGCAAGAAAGCATTAAATTAACTGAGAACCTAGTTCTCATTAGTTTAATTGTAAAAAATTATAGTATGTTACAATCTAAACCTGAAGCTTCCGGCTAATTTTCAAAAATATAACTAAAACAATATAATATTTATGTATAAGTTGCAAACTATTTAAAGATATAAAATGCTTAATACATTGCTTTCTGATCACCACAATTAATAAAGTTGTTAAAATAAAGTTTGTTTGTATGCAGTAATGTAGACAATCTGCTTGCAATACATGTTACATTTATACAACATGGCAAGTAGTACACAGCAATAAAGTGGTTTGTTTGAAAAATGGAGATAAAAATAT